CGCTATCGGTGGTTTGGGGCAGATTCCGCCGTCTGAGGGGGCAACGGCTGCGGGTCATCATCCTCCAGCATATCAACCAGATGGTGAAGGTGTAGGTCATCAGGGTAGCATTCCTGTGACAAAACTGGGTAAGTGGCTCTCAAAATCAACACATATTCACATCAATTACTGATGTTTGATTACTCACAGATTTTTTTCAATTCGTACGTTTTCTTCACAGAGACATTTTTTCGGATTAAGGTTCATTACAAAGGGAAGATGGTGAAGGAAGAGTTGGTGGAGAATGACGCTGGTTTCAGACTGATGTATCAGGGAAACATGTTGGTATTTTTGTACTTGATTCATCACTGATCTTTAAGTTAGCACCATGGATCATACAGATGAAAACTTAACAGTATACCTTTAACTCCCACAGGGACGAATCCATGGGCAGTGCTGATCTACCAGTGGTCACACTACCTATTCCTGAAGGTATTCTGGATCAGAGCCAGGCCAAGCATACGAACGAAATTCTGAATAATCTGGGTGGTCTGGAGATCAGGAGATTTGATGGCGTGGTCTGTGGTCACCGTTGGGGATTGAGCAGGATCTATTGGGGTCTATGCAAACATGAAAATAGCCAAACACCCAGAGAGCTCTCCAAAAACACACCTGAAGCCGTCTACAACTTCAGAGATTATATATCAGGTGAGTTATATTTGACGTCAGATTTCTCCCAGCCATGTTTAATCAAGATCGATCGATTGATTAAAGTTTTAAAATCAAATTGTTACATGATATGCTGATTATTAATAAGATTAATTACAATATTTGCTAAAAAAGACAAGATTAAATGTGGCAGATGCGTACATCATTGAATAGACATTACAAAAAGTGGCATATTAAGTATTACACTATACACATAAATACACACGTAATACACATTACATAGTATTACGATTACATTTCCATTTCCAACTTATTTTTTTCCATATATGAACAAAAATAAGAAAACAGTAGGAAAATGCCTTATTATGGAATTTACACACGAGTCAGGTAGCATGATTAAACAGTTTTTTTCATAAATAAAATTTTATTTAAAATACATTTAAAAACTAAATTAAATTGTGTATTTGCTCAGATATGGATCGTTGGTGCTTGCAAATATTTAGCTGATTCTTATATGTTAGATTGGTCACTTGGAACGTGTGCTGGATGATCTGATGATGTCATTCCTTTAGGTTTGATGGACTTTATTCAGACAAGCTGCGAATCTCCTTCTTACGCTCTTTACTTCTTTCTGGGGCAGAAGTGGCCCGACCCCAAAATGAAGCCGTGGGAGAAGAAACTCATCATGATAGAGGTTAGGATAGGACTTTAGGTTAATATTTACCCTATAAAGCCTACTGTATCATATTTCATACACACATTTCTAAGGCCTCTAAATGATCAACATGGTCAATTTTGCTGAAAATCCTGTTGTACACCATCTACTATATGCCTTCTGTTGTCTGATTGATAGTTTGTACTTTTATAGCAAGTAAAAGGCCTTTTAGTATAATTGTAAAATTGTTGCATTAAATGTTTTGCCCCCACAATAAAAATTACAGAGCTTTGATCATAAAACTTAGTAGCATCTTACTAAAACATATTATTAGGACATGTAGAGTGACAACTGATTTATATACATTTAATGTTTATGCATTTATACTGTTAAAAAAAATCTCTTTGATTTACATTACAGGCTATTACAATTTCATCTTACTTTAAGCATGTAAATAACAACATCTGCACCAAATTGCATATTCTGTTCAGTTTGGGGCTATAGTTAATATTGAGGTGTTTTCCCTCATTTATGAATATTTTTCATATTTTTACTGGATCATACTCTATGGGCCATAAAAGCTCGATGTATCAAATATGATACTCAATTAAAAAAGAAAGAAATAATTTTTTTTTTTTAATTAAATATTTTGTTGAAAAGTCCATAAATCTGTTCCACTGAAAAAAATATATTTTTCTAACTATTATTCCATATGTCAGGCTTTACAGGGTTAAGAAATTTGACTCTTTAATGAACATTGTTGTCTTTCATCATATTTCCGTTATCTCTATTTTATACATGCAACAAACACTAACACTTACCATGCACAGTGAGGCATTCTGCTTCCTATTGTGGTTAGGATCACACCTTACCTATAGAATCACTGTAATGTCATTTCTTTTGTGGCTTATTGCTTCATTTGTATTAAAGGGGTCATATGATGTTGCTAAAAAGAACATTATTTTGTGTATTTGGTGTAATGAACTGTGTTTATGCGGTTTAAGGTTAAAAAAAACATTATTTTCCACATACTGTACATTATTGTTTCTCCTCTATGCCCCGCCTTTCTGAAACGCGTC